TGTTCTCTTTTGGCATTATACAAAAATCTTTCAAATACCTCCAAGAGGTGAACAATCTTTTGGAGGATAGTTAAAGAATTAATACTATAATTACGATTTTTAAAATAACCTGGATTAAAAAAAAAAAACTGGGGAAAATGAAGAAACTACTTTGAATGAAGTTGATTCTTGCACTGTCCACATGGAAAAGGATGAAATACTCTAATTATGTAAAAATCTCAGATAAAAGTCTTTTTATATTTTCTTTTATGTCTGTATAGTCTAGAAATATCCTCAATTCTCCATTTTATCATCTGTAATGTATCCGTCAGTGTCCTTGCAGGAAGCAGATAATACAATTAAAGGGGTCAATTGAAATGAGTTTGATGGAGAGACTATTCACAAAGGCTGGGTATGGTTACGAGCCAATAAGAAATGGTGACTACCTAAGGACTAGCATCAGAGGGAAGCTGTTAGAACCATGAGGCCTGAAGTGGCAAGTGGAGAGGAAATGACTTTACTGAAAGCTGATGAGAACTGTAGCCATGCCACAAAGCCCATCCAACATGAACTCTGGCCCTACATAGAGTAACACAGTCATTTCAAACCAGAGCCTGGCAGAGAGAAAGAGTGAGTTGGATAGGAAAGGATGCAGAACATATCCCCCAATTTCTCCATCCTCCAGCTTTCTCTGATCTCCCGACAGTTCTCTATACAGGATAGAACTATATGACAAATGAAGAATAACCAGCAGCTTATAAAGGTGATTGCGGTCTTTTAAACAGACCCTATCTCCATCATTATCACTGATTAAATAATGCCTGCTGACATCAGTATTATGCATTAATACTCTCAACCTGGCTGCAGCTTAGCTTTTCAAGTGAAAACTTCAGACACATATTTTAAAATTTATTTTATTTTATTTTTTTGAGGCGGAGTCTCACTCTGTTGCCCAGGCTGGAGTGCAGTGGAGCAATCTCGGCTCACTGCAACTGCCTTCTGGGTTCAAGTGATTCTCCTGCCTCAGCTTCCTGAGTAGCTGGAATTTCATGGGTAAGCCACCACACCTGGATAATTTTTGTATTTTTAGTAGAGATGGAGATTCACCATGTTGGCTAGGGTGGTCTCGAACTCTTGACCTCAAGTGATCTGCCTGCCTTGGCCTCCTAAAGTGCTGGCATTACAGGTGTGAGCCACTGCACCTGGCTGAGATATATGCTTCTAATTTTAAAACACGTTATCTATTTTTGTTCTTTTGATTTTGGTTATATCTGTCCCTGAAAATGGCCACAGTTTTGGAAAATCATTCTAGTATGTAAAGACGTTAGACATAGAACAAATGCCCCTGCATTGCTCGATTTGACCACCAGGATCCATCAGTTGAGTTCTCACTCTGAATCCTTTTTCTATCACTTCAGTGTTAACTATGAGTTAACGGAATCAGTCATGGATGGCTTAGTGCAATTTCAAGAAACTCTCCAAAATTCTGTCTGTTCTCAAATGGTCCTGCCATCACATTCTACCTGATGTGATACTCCTGCCATTAGATACCACTCTTCTAGACCAGAAAAATCTAGGGTCTTCTTTCTAAAGGGAAGCCCACAATGCAGCCTAGGAGGAGAGTGAGACCCGTTTACCTTCTTCTATTAGCCAAGAGGTTTTCGTGTTTTATTTTTTTCATATTACTTGGTTTTCTTTTGACATTCTCAATGAAACGAATGCTGAGGAATCTTGGACAGACAAGTTTTAATGTTTGGGATAGAGAGAACAAGCATACACGTAGGCCAAAATGAGCTGGCAGTGCGAGTGGCCTGGAGACTTAGAGGAAGGAGGTCTGAGTGGGGTTTTTCACATGTATTGCCAAACTTTTCTTATGTGAGCCTCATCATCAGCCAGTGGCTTACACAGAAAATATAACAGTTCTTTTTTAAAAAGTTAAGCATTAAAAAACAAACAAAACCAAACTGAAGCCCAGATAGGCTTAAGTAACTCACCAAGAGAAATGGCTCAGCAGGCTAGGCCAACAACAGGAAACTGTAGCTCTTCCCCATAATTGTTGTGTGGCTAAGGACGGACCACTTTGCTTTTCGTGGTTCATTTCCTTTTCCTCCTTGTGGTATAAAAGAGTCTTTGAGAAACACCCAGTGAAAAGTTCTAGAAATCCCTTTTTAAAAAACCTTTGCATAAAATATTAGTAACCTGGCTTTTTAGTACTTTGACTTAAGCCATCTAAGGCGTATTTTTCTTTCCCTCGCTTAGCCCAGGCAAAAACAGTGGGAAAGACAGGAAGAGAACTGGGAGAGAGTGACATTGAGGAGAGCTGGAGCCTGTGCTGTGGGGTGTTCAGGCACAGCCTCACGCTTTTCCAAGAACCTTTGCTCCTTCTGATGCCTGGATTGTATTAGTCAGTTTTCCAGAGAAACAGAACTAATAGGATATAGAGAGATATATAAAAGGGGATTTATTATGGAAATTGACTCACGTGATTATGGATGCTGAGAAGTCCCAAACATGCCATCTGCAAGCTGGAGACCCAGGAAAGCCAGTGGGGTAATTCAGTCTGAGTCCAAAGGCCTGAGAACCAGGGGAGCCAACAGTGGAACTCCAAGTCTGAGGCCAAAGGATTGGAAAGCAGGGAGTGCTGGAGTAAGCCCTGGAGTCCTAAGGCCTGAGAATCAGGAGCTCTGATGTGCAAGGTCAGAAGAAGATAGATGTCCCAAGGGCAGGAGGAGATAGATGTCTCAAGAAGTAAGAGCAAATTTGCCCTTTCTTTCTCCAACTTTCTTTTCTATTTGGGCCCTGAATAGATTGGATGGTGCCCATGCCCACCCAACTTGGTAAGGATGGAGTGAGCTTGGTTTCTCTTTCTTTCTCCCTTCTTTCTTTCTTTCTCTTTCTCTTTCTCTCTCTTTCTTTCCTTCCTTCCTTTCTTTTTTTCTTTTCTTTTCTTTCTCTTTCTTTCTTTCTTTCTTTCTTTCTTTCTTTCTTTCTTTCTTTCTTTCTTTCTTCTTTCTTTTTCTTTCTTCTTTCTTTCTTTCTCTTCTTTCTTTCTTTCTTCTGTCTTTCTTTTTCTCTTTCTCTCTCTTTCTTTCTTCTTTTTCTTTCTTTCTCGTTCCCTCCTTCTCTCTCTCTCTCTCTCTCTCTCTGTTCTTTCTTTCTTTCTCTTTCTTTTTTTTTGATGGAGTCTCATTGTCGCCCAGGCTGGTGTGCAGTGGCATGATCTCAGCTCACTGCAACCTGATTCAAATGCTAATTGCTTCTAGAAGCAACCTTACAGACACACCCAGAAATAATGTTTTACCAGGTATCCAGGTATCCCTTAATCCACTCAAACTGACACATAAAATTAACTATCATGCTGGACCCGACTAGTGGGGTCATTAACCACTTTGGTTTGCTCAGGACTGTGGAGCTTCCCAGGATATGGGACTCTTAGTGCTAAAACTAGGAAACTCCTGAGCAATCCAGGACAAACTGGTGACCCTATTCCTGTATTCTCTCTCTCTCTTTGTCTTTTTTCTCCTTCAAAGACAGAGTCTCCCTCTGTTGCCCAGGCTGGAGTGCAGTGGTGCAATCTCAGCCCACTGTAACCTCCACCTCCTGGGTTCAAGCGATTCTCATGTCTCAGGCTCCTGAGTAGCTGGGATTACACGTGCCTGCTACCATTCCTAGCTAATTTTTGTATTTTTAGTAGAGACAGGGTTTCATCATGTTGGCCAGGCTGGTTTCCAACTCCTGATCTCAAGTGATCTGCCCACCTCAGCCTCCCAAAGTGCTGGGATTACAGGCGTGAGCCATGGTGCCTGGCCTTTTTTTTTTTTTTTTTTTTTTTATTTTTTTATTTTTTTTTTTTTTTTTTTTTTTAATACAAGTGAATTTTCAGTTTCCCCTCTAGCTTTAGAAAAGAACAGTGTTTCTTCATTAAGAACCACATGTATTTTGGCTTGCATTTAAGGGCTATAGGTATGAAAAACATATATTTTTAAATAATAGACTCATGCACAGTAAGGTGAGATGCTCATAGTATAAGAGCATATCAGGAACAGAATATGTCCTAGGAAATAGCAGACCCAACTCCAGCTGGAGCTTACACAGGGTTATAAATTCACTGAGAAGAATGGCCATGGAACTGCAGGCATTGTTGAAATTGTTATTTATCTTTTCACTACCCAATATCCCTCGCTCCACAGGCATGTAAAATTAAATTCACAGAAATTAAATCCCTCCCTGATGAAAAGGCATCAGCATGTAAAAAGAAGATTAATCTAGCAAAGACCTCAGTGAATGTGCTGAGTGGCTTGGAAGTGAGCAGTAGTTAAAAACAAATGTAACAAAATATAAGATGGAATACTTTACATCACAGTTTTGGCGGAGGCTCCAAAGACTGAGAATAAGCCAGTATCTGCCCAATCACTACTGGGTGCCAGAGGAGGCGCTGATTTGCCTCTTCAGGACATGCTACATGGATGGAGAGAAGATTCCTTGGGGAGATTTGGGGTGTGCTTGACCAGTCCTTCCAGAACTGGAGAAAGGAGAAGGCCTGCACAGGTTGTACACGATTCTTTCCACCTGGAAACTTGATACATGTGCCCTGGAGTTGAGGCTGCTTGGTTTAATGATACTGACCCACAATTGAGAAGACAAAAAAGGAGAGCCACACCTTGAAGCACGGCAAGGATGCTTGAGTTTTCCTGTGAAACAAGAGAGACCATTGGAGCTTGGTATAGGGGAGTGGACTCTTGGACCCAACTTAAAAGTCATGCTGCTGAGAGGGCCATTTGGCTGGTGATGGAACCCCAGTAGAGAGAAGCCGGAGTGGACTGGGAAATGCCCAGGAGATTAGAATTGAGGTAATTAGTGACAAGCCAGAGAAAAATGACCCCGTCCTTTAAAAAATGTAAACTTCTGATAAAACTTCCAAAGCACTCTGCAAGGGAAAGTGCCAGCTCTAATCAGCTGCGGAGCTCAGAGTGCTCCCACAATACCCGCTTCTCCTGGTGCTGGCTTTGGAAGGGGAGGGGATGCTGACAAGGCTGCTAGGAGATAGCGTAAAGCTAGTTAGTAAGAAGGACCGAGAGCAAAAGCTGACCCTTCATATCACCTCTCATCCAATCCAAGATACGAAGCCTTTCAGGTATAAAGGTTTTCAAGCTGGGATAGAGGAAAATCCCTAAATTAGATAAAAGTTGGAAATTCTAGTGATTTAATACTACTGGGTGTTTTAATTATTCAAATATAATTTATCAGGATAGAAGATGATTGGAGTAATTTTGAAAATTATTGAAAAGTTATAGGATCGGTCCAAGATTTCATCCAAGGAAGAAACAAGATCTTACAGTGGGTTTAAAGGGACTCTGCGTGTGTGTGTGTGGGGTGGGGGGGAAGAGGGAGTGCACCTACTGAGTTCAGCCTGTTTAATAACAGCTGGCATTTACAAAATGCCTACTACACACTTGACACTGTTATGTTACATGTGATAAGTCATTGAGTGTTCACAGAAAATCTGTGAAACAGGCATTATAATTACCCTCATTTTACAGATGATGAAATTGAGACTGAGAGGTTAAATAATTTGCCAAGGCCACACACTTAAGTGGAGAATCTGAGGTTTAAATCTACTGTTATATAGCTTATTGCTCCTAATTACACCATGTTTTGCTTATTATCTGAGAAAATGGTTAGAAAAAGATGGTGTGGGACGCATAGAAAAGGGATTTTTGAATGAGCAAGTTAGAACAATGGTCTGGAAGCAGCCACTGGAGGATGCCAGGTACCAGCACTTTGGATCTGCAACTGGAACCTGGGTTCAGTATTATTCTGGGGCCTTAGTGGGTTTTAACCCCCAGGGAGTGCCCAGTGGACCTGGCATGGTGGGCTACCAATTCTGAATAACAGAGAAGACATTTTTAAAGGAGGGCCCATTTAGGTTTTTTTTTTTTTTTTTTTTTTTTTTAAACATTACCTAATCTGTTTTGTTGTTTTGATTTATTTTGCTTCTGCTCTGGCCCCACTATCCGGGTAACTTTCTCTCCTGAGTCCGCAAGGGGCTAATGTTAAAAGTCATCATAATTGTTTAATTATAATCTCCTTTTAACTCCAAAATAACAGTGCATTGAACTGAAAAGCTTTTCTGATTAAGTAGTTACTAAATACCATATATCATTTATAATGCTCACCTTTGTATGCAAGGATTGTAGACATCACAGCTCCAGAATGTGCTCAAAACCATTTGATTAGATTAATCATCCTGATAAAGACACTTGATTCCCATAATAAATTAGACATAATGGATAATACATTCATGAAAAAGGTGGGTAGATACATTCTTTCCAGAGTTTAATTTTCTAACTTTGAAAGTCAGAGAATACAAAGCAAGTTTTCATGAATTGCATTACCTTCTCATGCTTTTTACATTCCTACAATATAGTAAAAGTTATTTTATTGCATGAATGCAAAATTAATGTTAAAATAATGAGGTTGCATTGAGGCTTACAGCAGGGAAACTAAGAAACTGAAATGATTCTTTTCCTATCCAGGTCATGCTGGCCATACCAACTAAAGTGTCCCCATACCCTCCTGCCAGTCAGCTGTGAGAAAAATGTAGCTGGAAATAGTGAGAAATCAGAGAAGAAAAGGTAAGATTGTGAAGTCGAGTTAAAGTTACCTAGGAGTGGCCTGAGTTCCCCTCCTCTCTATCACCTTTACCTTCCAACTTGGAGTTAATTGCTTAAAAGAATAAAATTTGGATAGGTTCAATAGGAAATTCAAGTTTTTCTAAGTTTAAAAAAATCATATTAATATTTGCATGCAGTTAAAATGCAAATGATGTAAAACCCCATATAACAGTCTAAATTGGGTCAAAAAATTCAGTTGGGTAGAATATAGGGTTGCAGTGTTGTAAAATTGACATAACTGGGGTGAATCCAGTTCAGACCATGGGAACCCGTCACCAGTTCCTTCAATTACACTGAAATTCATAATATTGTGAGGTATGTGATCAAGGGGTTTTCCTGAAGTTCTAAATGTCATAATTAAAAGTAGAAATTTGCCCCTTGCCTTTTCATACTTCCTAGCCATAATCTGCTTCAATGTTTTGAACTGTTCCTACTGGTATTGACATTTGTATTTTTAGATAATATTTTGGAATAACTCAAGAGAGTTATATAGTTGTGATATCTGAATATTATTTACTGAGCACTTAAGTAATATATGATAATTATGGTTTCTTTCTTGCATAATTTTTGAATTTACTTATTCAGTTTTTCATATGTTCATCCTCAATTCTTTCCACACATACCATCAGATTTTTCATATATCAATTTATTTTCCAAATGCTCAAATATATCAGAACATCATCTCTCTATAATATAAATTTAAGCTCACCTTTAGTGCCAGTTAATTAATATTAGGTTTGCTGTACTCTGTTATTATACCCCCCAAAATGAGTTAGAAAACAACAGGGATTAGTCAGCTTTAGAGTTTTATTCCATTAAATGACTGGGAAAAGTCCATTGCTTAATGTATGTTTTAACTACCTTAGACTATGTTTTTAATTTTTGAAACTAGACTAAAAATACAATTTTACTCTTGAAAAAGACTTTATTCATTCACTTATTTATGTTTTTAACAGATGTATTCAACAGTTTTTTTTTAAAAGCTTATTTAAGAGCTTTTGATCTACCAAAATGGCAATTTCACGTGATTCAAATTAATGCTGTGAGTCCGGCACTCTGCTAGGCACTTGGTCATCACAGTCTTATTCAGCCCCTCACTTTAGCAGGAGAAGAAAAAACAAAACTGTCTTTTGATAAAGATTATTTAGTTTAAGAACAATAAAGAGTAATGCATTTCTGAGAGCTAAACAAAAATACGATTGTTAGTGTATGCATTAGAGGTTTATTTCCTGCAGATTTATGGTCCCAAAGGTATAGTTTGTTTTCCTGTTACGTTACTGTTTTAAATTTGAACATGTTGCTGAGGTCCTATGTGATAGGTACTTAAAAAAAAAAAAAAAACTCCCTAAAGTATAAACAAATAAAAACATTATAAAGTAGGAGAGTCTGAAAACACGCCTATTTATTTGCATGTTAATGTGGAAAAATCTTTAGCCTCTTCGGTAAATATTCATTATCTTAATTGGCTCCTGGCTAGTTAAGTCTTCAGGAGGATAAAAAAAAATAGACTGTTTATTAAATATATTTGCTGGAAAGTAAGAATTGGAATGAAAGCAACATCTGAATTTCACTCTGAAACCAGAAAATGTAATACAGTAGTAATGATTTAGTCATGCTGCTTTTTCCAGGAATGATCAATAAAAGAGGGGAAGTCAAGTCCTACCTTGAACACTGGAATTCAATAAAAAATAAAGTAGAAGAGCTGAAAAAGAAATCAGAACTATATTATTTGGAAGCACAGACTGGTAAGAGAAAGTCCAAACAGATGAGTGTGAAGAGGAATGGAAAGAAACAAAACTGTTCCATTAAAAAGGTGTTTAAGGGGCTTATTCTCCCTCAGTGTGAATGCATATAAATTCCATTAGTGTTAATAGGACCTAAATGCATGAGTCAAGAGAAGAATAGAGTGACTTGTGTATGTATGGTTACATGAAGTCTAGGAAAAGTCTATTAAAAACGACAAAGGGTAGTTTAGGAGTCTAATAGACGTATAGGTATCTGCAAGAGAAGCATTTAATTTTAATTAATGGTATAATGTATTTTTCTTTACTAAGGGCAAAAAAAAAAACCCATAAAATGACAAAGGGAAAATAATTTTAAGTAAGCTCAAACTTAGCTCCCAAAATCATGGATTAATGCTAAGGAATATATTCTTGTACTCCAGGTGGTAAAATTGATCCCTTGTGCAAGGTTTATAATTTACATTCAAATTGGAATATTGAGTTGTATAGAGAATTCAGCTCATTTTTCCCAGCTTTCACAGCATGTGCGTGTGTGTGTGTGTGTGTGTGTGTTTGTGTGTGTTTGTGTGTGTGGGTGTGTGGTGGCAGTGGGGGACAGGGTGAAGAGGAAGAGAGAGAGAGAGAGAGAGAGAGAGAGGTTGATTTCCATAGAAACTAAACTCTAGTCTTTGGTTATTTACAAAAGGGAATATAATCAAGCCAGATTTTAAAAAGTACATAATAGTGCACAAAGTAATAGATGGAAATCTCTCAATTGAGGGAGAAATCTGTTTCTGGGAGAATAATTTGAAATTGCTTTGCTGTAGTTAATATAGAGTTTCAAGTAAACAATAAAGTCCTTTATCCAAAAGAGATAAAAAACTAAGAATGTCTTTGTTTAGAGAGAAAAGCTGGAGGTTACAAATAAAAAAATTTTTAATGCATATTTATTACTTATTTCTTATAATCCATAAATTATTGAAACCAGGAACGTTATAATCCTCCACTTTATTCTTCATAATTCTATGTGTATTAAATTGGTGTTCACACACTTACGTAATGAAGAATGCATGAACATGAGGGTGGTTTTGAAGAAAATGCAATGTCTTACCTGAAGTTCTTTCTTTGAAGTGTCTCATCTATTCTCTGCATTTGGAAAAAGTTGAATTTAGCACTGAGAAATGCTTTAGTGGGAAATTGAATGCCTAAGAATTTATATGATCTCTTTTCTAGTAAAAGGAACTACATTTAGGAAGAAGTACGTGAGTGGATTCTCTTTTGGGTAAATTTAATAAGAAGCAGATCTTAGGCCGGGCGCGGTGGCTCAAGCCTGTAATCCCAGCACTTTGGGAGGCCGAGGCGGGTGGATCACGAGGTCAAGAGATCGAGACCATCCTGGTCAACAAGGTGAAACCCCGTCTCTACTAAAAATACAAAAAATCAGCTGGGCATGGTGGTGCGTGCCTGTAGTCCCAGCTACTGAGGAGGCTGAGGCAGGAGAATTGCCTGAACCCAGGAGGCGGAGGTTGCGGTGAGCCGAGATCGCGCCATTGCACTCCAGCCTGGGTAACAAGAGCGAAACTCTGTCTCAAAAAAAAAAAAAAAAAAAAAAAAAAAAAAAAAAAAAGAAAAAAAAAAAAAAAAAAAAAAAAAAAAAAAAAAAAAAGAAGCAGATCTTAGAGGGACTCAATATCATACACTTGCATTACACTTTAATCTTCACTCTATGATGTTTCCAATATTATGGCACTGAAGTCATACTTCTTGCTGTGAAGAAGTCTCTAATATTGCTCTCTTATTCCCATTCACATTGTTTTTAGTCATTTTAAAGAGGTCTTTATATTTCAGGATCTAATATAGCATTTTTTTTTAAATAAAAGGTGTATAAAATTTGTACATTCACCTACTAGCACCAGGGGTGTATGTGTGTGTGTGTGTGTGTGTGTGTGTATGTGTGTCTGTGACTACATATCTATGATTGTAACTACCAAATAGCTCCAAGTTAGGAAAAGTGATGAGAAGTCTGAGGAGATTATATAGTGTATAGTACCATTTCTTTACTGATGATACTGCATATCAGGTAGTACCAGAGGGTTGAATTTAACTTTAATGTAAATAGTTATTAGCACAGGGAATGTCGGGTTAGAAGGTGTGGTTGGGAAGCCCAAAACTCTCTCAGCACAGTGGGAGGCAGGTGAGCTGTATAGCATAAATGAGGAAATTTATTATGAGGAATTGTATTTATTTGCCATTACTTTTAATGGCAGAAACCACAATTACTTTTGCACCAACCTAATAAAAGTGCTCTGCAATACCAAGTTTTGGCAAGAACATGGAGTGCCTGGAACTCTCATGCACTATAGTGGTAGGTACATTATTGCAACCACTTTGAAAAACTGGATGGCAGTATCTATTAAAACCAAACATTTGCAAATCATATGAACCAGCCATCTCACTTCTAGGTACATAAGCAACAGAAATGTTTAGATATTTGCCAAAAGACTTAAGCAAGTGTGTTATGACATTTCTAATAACCAAAAGACTAGATTCAACCCAAATACTCATTAATAATATGTGTAAATAAATTGTTATATCAAGTAAAGAAATACATATAGTAACAGAAATAAGTGAACTACAACCATCTGCAGAAATATAAATGAATCTCACAAACATAGTATTGAGCAAAGAAGTCAGATAAAGACAAATCAGTATTGTTCAATTTGATTTATGGAAAGTTAATATGAAGCAGATCAAATTAAACTAGTAGGTCTCCAATAGGAAAAAGGAGAGGGATTGCAACTGTTTCTTAATCTGGGTACAGGTTACAAAGAAGTGTTCATTTTGTAAAAAGCTATAAAGCTGTACACTTAGAATTTGTGCAGTTTTCTATCTTCGTATGTGTGTTAATCTTCAATAAAAAATTTACCCTCCTCCTCAAAGAAGTATACCTTTTATAGATTCTTGAAAACTCTACCTATAAGGGCAGAACTTTCGGAATACTAGGTGATGCAGAGCTTTAAATAGGAAGAAAAGTTGGGGGAAGGGAGCAGCCAATGCCTGCAATCTGAAATCACTCGGTGATAGATTTTGTATTTGGGTAAAACCTTAGGTCATGATAAATAACAATATAGACTGATATTCAAAAGATCTGAGGAGACTTAAGCTTGAGTCAGAATAGCCACAAATAAGTGTCTGGTAATTTGTCTGATAATGGATATCAAATAAGACCAAAGGCAGGGACAGGCTGGAGTGCCAGAGTTTAAAAACTAAACTTTTGAGGTAGGAGCAGTTTGCCACACAGTAACTTAGAATGGTCTGCCAAACTCTGCCTGGGTTTAAATGATGCTTCTCCAGGACGAGAATGTGGCAATTTTATGTGGTTTATAATTATATAAAAGGCTAGAGAAGAAAACTAGCCTTTTTATTTTATTTTAGTCACGTTATATTTATAAGTCATTTACTCTTATATAGTCATGCCATATATGTGAAAATCTCCTCATTTTTCAAACAATGCCATGACTTATACATGTAAAACATGGTGTAACAAATACACCAGCTTTTATTTACTCATTTAATTCTTACTCTCCCGTCAATGTAGGGGTATAATTAAGAATGACAAAGATCCCAAATAAAAGTCTTACTAATTTATGGATTCTTTGTGCCTTAGTCCATTCAGGCTTCTATGATAAAAATACCATAGGCTGGGTGGCTTAAACAGCATTTATTTCTCACAGTTCTGAAGGCTGGGGAGTTCTAGATCAAGGAGCTGGCAGATTTGGTGTCTGGGAAGGGCCTGCTTCCTCGTTCATAGACTGCTGACTTCTCCCTGTGTCCTCACATGGTGGAAGGGGCAAGGGAGCTCTCTGAGGTCTGTCTTGTAAGGGCACTAATACCATTTGTGAGGGTTGCATCCTCATGGTCTAATCACCTCCCAAAGGCCCCAGCATCTAATATCCTCACACTGGGGGTTAGGATTTCAACATATGTATTTTGAAGAGCTACAAATATTCAATCCATAACACTATATAAAGAGAAGCAATCATAAAGGCTAACAATTATGGAGTAGTTGCTATATACCAGGCACCATTCTCAATACTTTATGTGTATTATTTAATCTTCATGACTACTTTGAAACTTAGATGAAAAGGCACATAATAGTAAAGGACAGAGCCAGGGTTCAAGGCCAGGTTAGCCCGACTTCAATCTTTCTGCTGTGTTATTCTGTTAAATATATTTAGCCATCAGGCATATAAATACTTTGAAATCTCAATGAACCTACCTGTAGGTTCCCTAAGTTCGGCCCTCAGCAAAAAGAGGTTACCCTCACTACCCTACTAGGCCTGTTTTCAATTATGAGAGCTGAAGCATATCCAGAGGGAATAGGCAGAGGTAAGTGGGTAGGGCAGTGGGAAGACTGGGTGACCAGCTGGCAAAGACAACATAATACACAGCCCTTGCACACTTGAATAGTGCCCCTTATGATAAGGTTCCTTCTCTGTGGTGTCACGTTTCAGCTCTTCACACTTCTGAAAGGGAAGCACCAGTTTTCCCTTCCCAAAGTGTTCGGGTTATAAGCGTGAGCCACCATACCCGGCCCTCCAGTAGCTTAATTTCTTTCCCCAATAGGCTATAAAAATAGAGCCCAAAGTTTCCCTCTTTTTGGGAGAACAAAGAGGGGTAAGTCTTCAAACATAACTTCTTTTCTACTTTTCAGGAAAGAGTTTAAAAATTCACCGTTGTGCAGTAGCGCTAGCAGCAGCTTCACAGTTGGGTCCTTGGACCCGGCAGCCGCTACTGGTGCTAAGCTGCTAGGAAGCCCCTGCCGGAGAGCTCCTTGGAGCTTGAACCCATTGTCATCCCTCTGACTCATCGGCCAAAAAAAAAAAAAAAAAAAGATTGCTCAGGAAAGCTCTTAATGGATGGGCTTAATACAGAAACAAATGAGAAAGCTCTTGAAGCAGTATTTGGCAAATATGGATGAACAGTGGAAGTACTCTTGATGAAAGACCGTGAAACCAACAAATCGAGAGGATTTGCTTTTGTCACCTTTGAAAGCCCAGCAGACACTAAGGATGCAGCTAGAGACACGAATGGAAAGTCATTAGATGGAAAAGCCATCAAGGTGGAACAAGCCACCAAATCATCATTTGAAAGTGGTAGGTGTGGGCTGCCTCCACCTCCAGGAAGTCAAGGCCCTCCAAGAGGTCTTAGAGATGGAAGAGGAGGAAGTTGAGGAACCAGGGGACCTCCTTCACTGGAAGGACACATGGATGATGGTAAATATTCCATGAATTTTAAAATGATTTCTTCCAGGGGACCACTCCCAGTAAAAAGAGGACCACCCCCAAGAAGTGGGGAGGGGGGTCCTCCTCCTAAGAGATCTACACCTTCAGGACCACTTCCAAGCAGCAGTGGAATGGGAGGAAGAACTCCTGTATCAGGTGGAAAGGATAATTATGGAGGTCCACCTTGAAGGGAACCACTGCCCTCTCATAGAGAGGTTTATTTGTCCCCAAGAGATGATGGGTATTCTACTAAAGACAGCTATTCAAGCAGAGATTACCCAAGCTCTCATGATGCAAGAAATTATGCACCACCACCAAGAGATTATACTTACTGTGATTATATAGAGGCTGCAGTGATAGAGATGGATATGGTTGTGATCATGACTATTCACATCATCCAAGTGGAAGTTCCTAGAGAGATTCATATGAGAGTTATGGTAACTCACATAGTGCTCCACCTACATGAGGCCTCCTGCAATCTTACGGTGGAAGCAGTTGATATGATGATTGTAGCAGCTCACTCATACAGTGACTGACATGGTGGAAGTCGAGACAGTTACTCAAGCAGCCGAAGTGATCTCTACTCAAGTGGTCATGATTGGGTTGGCAGACGAGAAAGAGGGCTTCCCCCTTCTATGGAAAGAGGGTACCCTCCTCCACGTGATTCCTACAGCAGTTCAAGCTGCGGAGCACCAAGAGGTGGTGGCCCTAGAGGAAGCCGATCTGATAGAGGGGGAGGCAGAAGCAGATACTAGAAACAAACAAAACTTCGGACCAAAATCCCAGCTCAAAGAAACAAACAAAAAATGGAAACTATTCTGTTATAACTACCCAAGGGCTACTAAAAGGAAAAATTGTGCTATCTTTTTAAAATATCACCTTAAATTCCCCTCCATAATTTTTTTGTTCTTGTGAGGAAAAAAGTAAAACATGTTTAATTTTATTTGACTTTATGACATTGCTTTTCAACAAGCAAATGTTAAATATGTTAAGACTTATACTAGTGTTGTAACTTTCCAAGCAAAAGTGTCCCTAAGGCAACTTCCTATCTGATTTTTCCCAGTAAATGAGGCAAGCAATTCTAAGATCTTCCACAAAAACATAAGATGAATCGTTCTGCCTATACAAAACAAGCTAGCTATTAGGGGGTGGTTGGGGTATGCTACTCATAAGATTTCAGGGTGTTTTCTAGCTGAAATCTCAATGTTCTCTGTATGAAAAACCTGAAATCAGATGCCTATGTGAGGAAAGTGTTATTCACCCTGTAAACCCAAAAAAGCAAATGGATAATGCTGGGCATTTTGCCTTTCTGACATTTCCTTGGGAATTTGCTAGAACCTTCTCTTTCCCCTCCCCCCATAAGACCATTTAAGTGTGTGTTAAACAACTACAGAATACTAAATAAAAAGTTTGGCCAAAAAAAATTCACAATTTCATATAGCCTAGGAGTAAGGTAAAGCCACTCATTTCCCATGTGTGAAGTCAGTCCTCCTAATGAAACAAAAGGGGAAATATCAGTTTAGTTTCATAATAAAACAAGTTAAATATTTACATCCTGCTAATAATATTAATCTAAATGATTGAGAAGAAGAGAAAAAAATTATAAGTACAAATGTGATAAATAGTAAATAGCAAGATGATAGGTATAAATATGACTGTATCAATAATTACAATATATGTAAAGTATATAAATGTTCTAATAAAAATACAGTTCTCTGGATAAAAAAGCAAAACTCAACAACAACAACAACAAAGAATACATATACATACACAAACACACATGCACAAAACTTCACTTTAAATGAAAAGATACAGTTAGGTTAAGAATAAAAGGATGGAAAAACTTATGCTATGTAAACATTAGGCACAACAAATAGATGAAATGGCTGTATTAATATCATATAAATTAGACATAAGAACATGAAATATTATTAGGCATAAAGAGAATCTTTTCATAATTACAGAGAGGTGAATTCATCAGGAAAATATAATTCTAAATGTTGATGCAACCCAAAACAATGCTTCAAAGTACACAAAATAAAAAAGACCTGAAAAAAGAAGAGAACATAAACCTTTATGAATTACACTGAAAGATTCTATGGCTCACATCTCCATCACTGAAGGGAAAAAAATAGACAAAAAAAATCACTAAGGATAATAGAAGACTTGAGCAACACTATCAAACCAACCACCTAATTGATGTTTATAAAACACTTAACAATAGCAGAATACAAATTTTTTAACTTCATGTGAACCATTACCAAGATGGATGATATGGTGTCCTTAAAACATGTAGAACCGATTTATTTTAAACGTTTTTGTATTTTATTTTAGGGAAAGGATCTTGCTACATTGCCCAGGCTGGTCTTGAACTTTTGGCCTCAAGTGATTCTCCTGCCTTGGTCTCCCAAAATGCTGGGATTATAGGTGTGAGCCATTGCACCCAGATGATCAAAAAGTTTTAAAGGATGAAATCATAGAAATGATATTCTATGACTATTATGAAATTAAATTAGAAGCAAACACAAAAAGTTTACCTGTCAAATCTGAAGCTTTGGAAACTAGACAAGATAGTTCTAAATAAACTACAGGTAAAAGAAGAAGTCATAGGAAATATTACAAAGTAATTTGAACTGAATCAAAATAGAAACCAACATTAAAATTTGTGGGATACAGTAAAGCACCCCTTGAGGGAAATGTATGTCTTTAAATGCTTTTATTAGACAAGTCTAAAATCTGTGGTCTAAACTTCACCTTAAGAAACTAGAAAAAGCAAAAGCAAAAAACAAATAATAACTAACACAAAATAATTATAAAAAAGAATATGTTAAAGATAAGAGCAAAAGTCAATAAAAAGAAAATAGGTAAATAATAGAGACAAACTACAAATATTGTGGTCAACTTGTGCCAGCATATTTACTAATTTAAATAAAACCGACAAATTCCTTGAAAAACATATATTATGACATTTACTGAAGTCATATGAATAGCCCTTATCTATTAAATACATTGAATTAGTCACTAAAGCCTTCTCCAGAAGAGAATTCTAGGCCCAGATGGCTTCTTATTTAAGGAGAAATATTACCAATTTCACATATACTCTTTTAGAAAGCTGAGGAAAAAACATGTATCAACTTATTTTACAAGGCCAATATTATCTCAATATCCAAACCAGGCCAAGACAGTATAAGAAATGAAAATTGAATTTAATTCCCAATACTATATAAAAGGACCAAGAATTTAAGGTTGATTTAACATTCAAAATCAATCAATGTAATTAATCATAGTTACAGATTAAAAATGAAAAACTATATGATCATCTTAATAAGTGTAGAAAAAGCTTTCTACAAAATCTGGCATATATTCATGACTTTTTAAAAAAGACAATGGCTCAACCAATTACGGATAGAATAAACTTTCCTAAATCTGATCTACGTCATCTACAGTAAACTGGAACATAATATCATACATATTATCAGAAAGCTGAATGCTTTTTCCCTAACATCTGGAACAAGACAAGGATGCTTACTCCTGCTATTCGTGCTCTACTATCTATTATAATTTTTAGTCTGTGCAACAAAGCAGGAAATAGAAGTAAAAGGCATATATCTGTCTGTATATACAAAAAACATGATTGTGTATGCAGAGAAATTCTAAGAAATCTCCCCAAAGAATCCTTACCAGACTAATGATTGAGTTTAATAAAGTCACATGGTACAAGGACAATATTAAAAAATCAGTTGTTCTTCCAAATATTTTCAATGTTTAATTGGAATTGAAATGGGAAAGGCCAGATTATTGCCAATTACATAGAAAATATAAAATACTTAGGGATAAATTTAACAAAATATAAGCAAGACCTATACAAAGAAAATTATGAAAACATTGCTTAGACACTAAAGAAAATCTAATAAATGGAGAGACACACTATGTTCATGGACTAGAGGTTTCATATGGTTAAGATGTCACTTCTTTCAAAGTTAGATCCAACACAAAATCTACTAAAATCCCAATAGGTTTTTCTGTAGAAATTGACAAGGTGATTTTTAAAATTTATATGGAAAGACAAAAGAAGCAGTACAGCTAAAACAATTTTTTTAAAAACAAGAATGAAGTTGGAGAATTATACTACCTAGTTTCCAGACTTACAGAATTATAGATTTCAAGATAGCGTGGCATTGGCATTAAGACACAAATCTAGATCAATGGACTAGGATAGAGAGTCCATAAGTTGGCCCATACATATTATTGGTTGATTTTTCACAAAGATTGTTAACGCCATGAGAAGAAATGATAGTCTTTTCAGCAAAGGTGCTGGAACAACTGAATATCCATATGGAAAAAAAGGACTCTTGATCCTTGTATCATACCATATACAAAATTAATTAAAATGAATCATCACAATATTTACAAAACTAAAACTATAAAATTTATAGAGATAAACCTAAAAGAAAATCTTCATAACCTTGGGTTAAGCAGATTCTGTAGAACACTGAAAGCACAAACCATAAAGGAAAACGTTGATAAATTGGATTTCATTAAATTAAAATTATTTAACAAAAGATACTGTTAAATAATTAAAAGGCAAGTTACAGATGGAGAAAGAAATACTTGAAATACATGTCTCACAAAGGACTTAGATCCAGAACTCATAAAGAACTCTTTTAAAATGGGCAAAAGATTTTGACCATTCTCTTAGTTTGGGCCTCAGTGGCAGGCATTCAATCCTTCCCCACTCTAAGGTGTTGACTTAGAGTCAGTGGCTGCCTGCCCTTCCAGTCAGTTTGGACTGTGCTTGTCTTCATTGCTAAGCTTCCCTACCTGACTCTTTTCCACTGGAATCTGCTCTGTGCACTTCCTTTTTAGCACACTGTTTCTTGCTCCTTTAAATGCATGGATACTTTAAATTTCCAGTCACTGTGCTTCTGGCTCCTTATTTCCTCTTTATAGAGTGAGATCTTAGAAATTCATGTTATTCTGACCTAAGCCCCACTCTGTTAGATGACAACTTTACTCATCAATTAGATTTACATTTATATATTTGTCTTTTATTTATATATTTATAGATTTATATATTTCCTGATTAGCTAGCTGGAAGGGACACCTCTTAATGGGCCATACCGAGCTTTGACTGGAGGCTCTTGACAGAGAAAACAGGGAGTTTATTGACAGAATCAAGCAAGCTTTCACCAGGCCTACATGAAATAGGGCTATTGTTAATCATGATCACTAATTACCAACATCTATCTGGAAACCTGTTCCTCCTTAGGATTTCACCAGTTAGCTCAAGCTGCAGGAGCTTTCTCAATGCTAGGAATCTGGTGTGAAGCTAGGGCCAGGATCCCTGGTCTTCTACAGATGAGTTTCTATTCCTCCTGCATGTGTGAGCTAGACTACAAATTTTCCTCTAGTTCAGAATGATTAGATGATTAAATATGCCCTAAGGGCTCATGGAAGAATGGTAGAATCTGATACTCAAACTTGAAGTTATACGTAATAGTACCCAATCCCTAAACCCTGTTCTGAAGCAAAACTC